TATATATATATATATATATATATATATATATATATATATATATATAAAACTTTTCCACAAGGAACTTAAAAAGCATTTCAGAAACAAACTGCAATGAGTATCAAGCAGCATCTAATATAATGTAAGAGATATTGCTGTTGGTCTATGTTGTCAGGACAGATTTTAAGGTAGAAATTTAATAAGCTAAAATCTCTGTGTTATTTAGAGATCCTTAATTCTTGCTTGAATTTTAAATATTTAAGTATACCTCCGTTGTTTCACTTTTGTCTCACAGTTTTAGACAAGAAGTAATTGTTTATTTTATAGTAAAGGAATGACAAAGTCAAGCAAAGTAAGCAGGGGACTGAGTAATCCAAGGTAAAAACAAAAAAGGGGGAAAAAACAGTCTGAGACAGCACAAAGTTTGTTTCATTTAACCATTTATCCATACGGCAATTTTGTTAAAAAAAGGTTAAGAAATGGCTGCTGATTTTTCTGAATGAAACTAGGCAACCAGTGGAGCCCTGCAGGGCTCTGTGCTGGGTCTGTATTCTTCCACGTATTTATTCTTCATCTACTAAAAGGCAGGATTAATGAAGCTGACCAAATTTACTGATAATTTATTGATGATAATGCAGTGTACTAAAGGAACCACAAAAAGATACAAAAGAATGTCCTAAGAGTAAAGTTCAAAACCACTAATAAAGTTAATTTCAGTCTTAATAAATGTGAAATGACACACACATCTGACTTTACATAAACAGTTTAATATATTAGCTGATGAATCATTCTGGAGACATAACAGTTTAACGAAAACACGAGTCAAGAAGCAGCTGAAAAGAAGGAAATTACAGAATTTAGCAGAGGTAGAACAGAGAACACAGAATCATAGAATGGTTAGGGTTCAAAGGACCTTAAGATTATCTAGTTTCAAGCCCCCTGCCATAGGCAGGGACGCCTCACGCTAGACCAGGTTGCTCAAAGCCCTGTCCAACCAGGCCTTGAACACTGCCAGGGATGGAGCATTTACCACTTTTCTGGGCAACCTGTTCCAGTGCCTCACCACCCTCACAGTGAAGAATTTCTTCCTTATGTCTAACCTAAATCTCCCCTGTTTAAGTTTGAACCCATTACCCCTTATCCTATTATTACAGTCCCTGACGAAGAGTCCCCTCTATGGCATCCTTGTAGGCTCCCTTCAGATACTGGAAGGCTGCTATGAGGACAAAACACAAAGATTCATTACACCACCCTGTAATAACTTGTAGCACACACATACTAAGCAGTTATAAACTCTCATCTGTTCTCCCACCTGACTTTTCCGTGCTACAAAATCACAATGAGTTAGCAATAAACAATCAGCTGCACTGAGCAATGCACTCCAATAGACTCCATTCAAAGAACAACTAACTATACAGGGATTTTTTCAGACTGGACAAAAGAGGAATAAATAAATAAATAAATAAATAAAAAAGTATTTTAGAGATTTCTACAACCACGAAGAGGATGGAGAGAGTGAACAGGTATCATTTTTTACTCCCATTGCCCCTGACATAATTTAGGGAGAGATCAAACACAGTTCTAGGAAGCATTACCAATAAAAAAAGGTATTACAATTTTTTTCTCCAAGATCATGTAAGACAACTAGCTTTGTTATCTTGGTAAGTTCTCAGTTTTTGTAAAAGATAGTGCTGGATGGTCATCCTATCTTACACGATTCCTAAGGCACCTTAACCTGGCTCCTGCAGAAGAAAGGACAGACTTCTGAAATAACCTAAACCATTTAAAAGCAGTCCAGAGCAAGTCCATTTAAGTGCAAGTCTAGAGGAGGGCCACAAAGATGATCAGGGGCTGGAGCACCTCCCGTATGAAGATAAGCTGAGAAAGCTGGAGCTGTTCAGCCTGGAGAAGAGAAGGCTGTGTGGAAACCTCACAGCAGCTTTCCAATATCTGAATGAGGCCTATAAGGATGCTGGGGAGGGACTCTTCATTAGGGACTGCAGTGATAGGACCAAGGGTAACAGGTACAAACTCAAACAGGGGAACTTCAGGTTCGATATAAGGAAGAAGTTCTTTACTGTGAGGATGGTGAAGCGCTGGAACAGGTTGCCCAAAGAAGTGGTAAATGCTCCATCCCTGGCAGTGTTCAAGGTCAGGCTGGACAGAGCCTTGGGTGTCATGGTTTAGTGTGAGGTGTCCCTGCCATGGCAGGGGGGCTGGAACTGCATGATCTTAAGGTCCTTTCCAACCCTAACTATTCTATGATTCTATGAAAAGAAATCTTTCCAAGCCAGGCATTTTTTCCTATATGGAGAGAATGACAGAACAGAGACATCCTCAATATACATTAACAGTGTGGTCCAACTGGTGCTCCATGGGTCAAATTCAGTCCACAAAATGCTTCTGAGCTCAGTATCTTTCTCTCAGCCAGTTCAGGAAATAATTTTATTTTGTAAACAATGTCTAATAGACAAATTGTTCTTTTGAACCCTGACGTGGTTACAAAGGTGGGAGCTGTTGATTTGTATCACACAAAAAAAAATTGCTGCTGCAGTACACAGAGGAGGTTGTGCCGTTTGCAGAGCATAGGGAAAAGGAAAAATGTTCCAAGTGTCTCAGCTAGCTCTTCCCACGGCTGATGTGCTGAACCTGATAGCTTAATGAAAGCATATGCATACACTATGAAAATAAGTATGAAATAAGAAAATTACTGTAAAAGTTCTTCCCATTTCTTTGGCCTCCAGTGTCATTCCTTCTCCCGCCTCTTTACCCCAGCCCGTTTCTTGCTGGTTTGCTTCTCAACGAGAGAAAAGCCAGTGTTAAGAGTTTCTTTCCAGTGACAGAAATCTAAAAATAGATCTTAAATATAAATTCTGTTTTTTTTTCCAGAGTCCATATACATCTATTTTCCTATTCAAAACCCGATTTTAAGACTTTCAAAGGAAGACTCCACAATTCAAGAATCCTAGAGAATTATTTTAAGACAATGAAATCATATAAAACAGTGTAACCGCTTTTATTTAGATATTTTTTCCCATTTCTCAGAATATCATCAAAAAGTAAACGGACAACTGCACTTAATTAATCTACGTTTTAGCCTGCCTTTTCCCATACATTTTATTGAACTAAATATTAATCTTTGAATCTTCTGTATTCCAATAGGAAAAGTATTTAATTGTAAATATTCTCCTTTCCCAAAGCTGCCTATTTTAACACCAAGAATTGGATGCTTAATGTAGTTTCATTCAACGTAAAGAGTGATACTAAGATCTGTCTTTTTTACCTCATGTTAAGATGCTGTGGAGAAAAACAGAAGCTAGGAATCTTTGCTACTCAACATTTCTATGACCAAATGCTTAACTTATGAAAACCAGAGGTCATAATGAGGTATTCAAGATTACTCTCTTTTGTGAGACAATTATTTGGGCACTCTTGAATGATGACTTGAAAAAAAAAAAATCACAATTGATAAAGTGCAGTGACCATTCCCCGCTGTACTTACAAGTGATGACCCCCCCCCCCCAAAACTCAAATCAATACTCAATCCTTTATTATTGCTTAAGAAGGAGGTATCTTCAGTTTTCAAATGCAAATTGCAAAGGTAGATTTTTTTGTGTTTTTTTTTTTTTTCTAAAGAAAATACCTTCTGTCCTTATTTTCCTTTCTTTCCTTTTGTTCCTTTTGTGAGAAAAAATCTGTAGCTCAAACAAGGACCGTGAACACAAAATATGGAGAACAGTGAAAATGACTACACAAAGAGAACATAAATGTATATTAGGAAAGTAATTTTCATTTTATTCAACAACAGTACACTGGTCAATTACTTGACAACAGCAAGAGCCTTATGAAAAGGAAAAATTCTGGGTCTTATTTTTTAATTGCTGGTACCCCTCAATCCTAATTCAACCTGAACAAAGGCTATGAAATAGCACAAAAATGGTATGTTTCATGCAGTAAGCACACAAGTGCCATTCCTCAAAAGCCCACAAGAAATAACCATCTTCGTAATTTTACACTCAAATTCAGCTCAGTCCTCATTACCACAATGTATTTACGCTGTGACCCTCCTACTATTTCCATGTTCCCTGTTAAACATGCTGCTTTGCTTATATTCTTCTGCTCTCTTTTATTTCAGCAATGCTCCTCATTTGTCTTGCTCATCTAGAACTGAATACAGGCCTTCTCCCACACCCTTTCTGGGTCCATTTAGAGCTAGCATTCGTTAAAGAGAAAGGAATCAATCCTTTATAAGTCTTTGACAATGTATTTGTACTCGTCTCCCCCACATACAATGTGAAGTAGCGACACACCTTTTTACAAAGCCATTAAACCCATGTTGCTGGGTCTCCCTTCACATACACCTTGCTGCAGAGCTCACTGCTACTGCCTTAGTCCTCACTCTATTGTTTTCCTGCCCATTCCTCCTGCGGAACGGCTGATCCTCGGTGCACAAGTCGGAGACTTGGCCCCACCCGCCCTGCCCACCTGAAGGCACACAACGGAGGCTGTTTCGTGGAGGACAGTCTGCAAGAAACACGCCAGGATCCGAAGCAGTAACACCAGCAGGGTGTGAAGTTTCCCGCCCATTGTCTGCCTGGCCCATCGGAGCCCGCCCCGCACACCTGCGGCCGACTGCCCGCCCCGTCGGCTAGCAGGCGCTCCTCGCCTCAGAGCCGCCTGGCACCTCCCGCCTCAGACCGGCCGCCCGGGGGACAGCTGGCGCCACGCCCAGGCCCGGCTCCCCGAAGGACGAGGACTCCTGATCAGCCGCGGGCCGCTCGGTTCTCCAGCGGGTCCCAGTTCGGTGGCCCTACACCGGAGACCGCCAGCCGCGGCTGCCTGTGAGGCGCCCCACGCCCGCGGTCCGCCGTGCTACCCACCCCGCCGCGCCTACCTGCGAGCCGCGCACACACACAGGACCAGCATGGGGAGGGGGCGCCAGGAGAGGAGGAGAGGAGGAGTGGAAGGAGGAGAAGGAGGAGGAAAAGCTCATTCCCTCCCTCAGCCGCCCCGCCTTCTGGCCGGCCGCGAGCACAGGCCTCCGCCTTCCGCTGCCGACCTGCGTATCCGCTTCCGCCACCTCTTCACGCCCTTCCCGCCGCTGCCGAGGGACCGCAGGCACCTCCACTCTCCGCTGCCTTCTTCGAGCCCTCGTGCCCCTTGTCTCTCCCACCCGGTGGCGGTGCGGACAGGGACGGCGCTTTTCGCGTTTCGCTCGGTAAGGGCAATGCCCTCTGTGGTGGGCACAGCTCTGTGGGGTTGGGGAGGCTGCGCGCCGCCTGCCCCCGGAGCTCCTCATCGCCGGAGCCCGGGGGTGGCGGGGCGGATCGGGCCCGAGGCGGCGAGAGATATAGGACCACTATGCCCGCGGTGCCGGGGTGGGCGTAGGTGGGGTGGCTTCTACTGTGGAGTAGACCAGTCCTCCAGGCCTGAGCGAGCGGCTCTGGGCCTGCGGTGGGACGAGGAGGTGGGCGGAGAGCGTGTGGAGGGGACGGGGGTCACGGCCGCGCAGCGGGACCCTGTGCCGACCTCCGGTGGGGCGTGGCGGTGTACGGGGACCCCGAATACAGTGGCGCCGCCGCTGTGCACCCCGACAGCGTTCTCCGGCGAGGAGCCTCCTTCCCCCGGTACTCGGCGGCGGCTGCGCGGCATGGGTCGGTTGGCACAGCGGGGGCGGTAGAGAGCAAATAATGTAGCGAGGGTTGGCCTTGGTCTTGCTGTTCATTTAGCGCTCGGTTTTAACCGGCTTCCCCAGCGACAGGGTAAAGATAGGACTTGTGATTCGAAATGGTTTAAGGAAAAATAACTTGGAAAGTCGGAACTAAAATTGTCCTCAGAGTTACGTAAGTCCCAGCTGATGGTGCATGTAAATGAGGCTGAGCCAGCCCTGTCACTGATCACAAGTGTGCACCGACGTTGCAGTGTTCCAGTTTTTGTCCAAAGTGAGTGTAACCCATTCAACAGCACCATGTCAGAGAATAGAATACCTTCTATTAAAGTGTTTTTCTGTTTCTCGACGTATTTATGAATGTGATTTTGATTTTGGCACGTGCTCCAGCTTCCAAGTAGGTATGTCTCAGAATAAAACCCAAATGGAAAAAAAAATGTAAAAAATTAAGATGCTAAATTATTTTAGCCTCAGTGAACTCTTGCGCAGGAATAGATCTATGGAAATCTGTGCTGTTTTGCTGATAGTTAGGCTTGACGATTGTAGGAGTTCTCCCTGATCTGTACAGTTTCACCACTTGTTTCAAGGCATCAGTTTATCGGGCTTTCTGGTGGAGGATAAGTTTTGATGTATTATGTGTACTTCTTACGTCAGTGGGATGCTGGAATGCTCCAGAAATTCATTTTCTGAAATGAGAGATCTTGTTTTTTTTAAGACATAGGAGGAACTCGCCAATTTCAAAATGTCATCAGTCAAACGCCTTGTCTATGCCGTCATCCATTTCCTGAGAGAGCAGAGTCAGATGGATACTTTCACTCCAGATGAACAAGAAAGCTTGGAAGGTAAGTGACAAAGGTGCTAACACTATATATATGTGTGTGTGTATATATATATATATATATATATATATAACATCAATCCATGTGTTAAATTGCTCAATGTGCCTTATTGTGGAAAGTAACTGGAGGGGCTTAACTGAAACTACTACCGAATATTCTCTGTGAATAAGATCATGATCTTAATGTTTCTGAGATTATTATTTTAATATATCTCTCATTTTAAAAATGTTCTGAAGTTACACAATGCATGCTACCTTAATTTTGAACAGCAGACACTTTGAATCACATCAAGTTAAGCAGTGCTGTAATGCAAACTATGGTAATGGTTTGTGTATATGTCCCACAGATTTTTGCCTGCTGATTCTTTTTACTTTAATATTTGGTTTCTTCCTGCATTTTATGTCAGATAGTAACTGTGCTGGCCACAGAGGAAGTAAAATAATTTCCATATATTTGGCTTGGTATCTAGGAAGATTTGTGTTTCATACTTACAAGACTTCCGTGTAATTTATGAGGGAAGGTTAGTAGATCCTAAGAATATGGAAAATCACATAAATGCTTTGCATTTCCTTTTCACTTGAGAACACAGTAGTGAGTGTTTTCAGTATAGCATAGCTTTTGTTATACATCCAAGTAAACATAGGTACAGAAAGATGGACTTAATTGTGTATTCCTGTCGTGACAGTTATTCATTAAGTCTTTGTAACTTCTAGTATCTGTCTTTATCCTTCATACTGCTCTTATTCCTTTTCCGTAAGTCTTGTAGACTTCATGACAGGTGGTGTTACAACATGGAATTAAGCAAGAGAAGAACAGAAAGTCTTCATTCTCCAATGAGCTTTTCATAGCATCTATTTAAAAGACCTCGGCACTATTTCAGTCAGTCTTCGGTTGTGTCACTCCACCAGAGGAGGAATTTGGGTATAAGAGGGGGAAGTCTAGGAGCAGCAGTGCAGTAAACACAAGCAGTTGATCACTGAGTTGCATAAAATATGAGGTGTGGAGAGTAGATTTCCCTGAGGTGCAAAGTGAGTCCTGCCTCTCAGAGGCATAAACATAAAAAGATAAACCTGGATTGTGCTTCCTTCCAGTGTCTATTCATTTTACAGTAGTTGTTCATTAGTATAAGCAAGTAAAACATTTATATCACGGTATTCAAAGGATACTCTCAAAAGAATAAAAGCCAGAAGATTTGGTTTTGCGTCAGAATTCGGAGCATTTGTAGACTTGAAAAAAGTGGTAATCATCTGTGAATTTAACCTGTATCAGATTATGTTCAGCTGATGAAAGAAGGCAGTGATTTTGGAAGTCATGTAATAAGAGATGCAGAGAATTCATTTTGTTTTTATAATAAAACTGGTAAACATTGGGTTATGACTGAAAACTTAACCTGGTAACATCTTAGAGCAGCCTTAGCCAAAGTCTATATGAAGAAATCAATTTTAAGATCCTGTTTTCTGAGAAAAAAAAATATTGTAAAACCTCAGTTGTGCTCAAATGCTGATATAAAACTTACCATTTTAATACAGATATCAAATCCTAATTTTAGAGCTATACCCTGCCAAAAGCATGGTACCATATGCTATGTGTTAGAGGATAGAAGGCGGGCATTCTGAATAATTGACTCAGTTGTGCAAAATATCTCTAGTGCCTGTGGAGTAGCAGTAGCCCAAGTCCCACTCATTGTTTATGTTAGGTGAAGATGTCAAAAAAAATGGATGTTTTTCATTGTTACCTATGTACCTACTAGGTATCTGTGAAAAGATGAAATACTGTATGATTTTAGTGTCTGTGCAGGAAGAAATTTAAGCAGTTCCCATTCACCAGAAAACAACAAAAAGACCTAGTAGCATCACAAATAAAATTGACTACCAAAGTAACAGCATAGCATGTATTCAAGCTCCATTTGTATTGACAACCTGCATTCTGCATGCTTGAATTACATAGCAGTGTCAATGACAGTGTAAATTTCCTCTAGGAATGTTATGCTTGCATGAAGAATACTAACGCCTTATCTTGAGAAAGTAATTAGACCAGAGAAACATAACATCCCTTACAACCTAAGATCTAGAGCAGTGATACAGATCTCTACTAGTTAGCGCTTGGCTCTGTTGTATGAAGTAGAAGCTTCACTTCTTCCAACTTGTATTTTATACAGGGTGCTTAAATGGCAGTTATCTCTTTCCTGTTTACAGGTTGTTTTGTTGTTGCGGGGGGGGGGTGGTGTTTTGGTTTGTATTTTTTTTTTTACTTGGCTATAGCAACTATTTCTGTGAGATTGAAAGAAATTCTCTACAATGTGCACATGGATGTGTTTTTGGGTGTTTTTTGATTACTTCTAAGATCCATGTATTGCAGTGAATGTGTTTCCAGAATAGTTTAATGCACCCCTTAAGGAGAGGAATGGATGTAATACTTGAGATGGGGAAGATATGTGTAAGATGAAGCAAGATGATACTGAGTACTAAAGGGGCCTCAGCAGCCCAATTAATACCGAGTGTTCAGTGAAAAACAGCCTGCATGTCTGCTGCGATGCCTTGCTGTTGCTTGCAACTTGTGCTTTGACAGCATAAAATCCTTGGTGGTATATGGCACTGGTGATTCTAAGCTAGGCTCTGGCGTAGCCCAGGTGCTTCTGCTGTCAGGCAGTGGGTATTTGTGTGAGCCCCAGCTGTTTAGCGGGGAGCTGGGTCTCTGTACAGGCCTGCAAGGTGGTCAGTACAACCTTCAGCAACTGCCTAGGCCTCTGAAAGCAGGCGTTTGACTTCAGGCACTGGAAAAATCTTAGATTAATAGCTCACATGGTGCAGCAAGTCTTTTCCAACTTACTGATGATACCGAGCTTGCAGCAGTTGACAGTGCTTCACTTTGATAATGGGATAATGGAAGGCTGGCAGTCCAGTCTCTTAAGATACTTTCCTGACAAAGCCAGTCTTTGCTCTTTTGACTTTACTGGGTCAGGTTTTTGTATCACAGTAAAACAGGGTAGTTACTGATCTTTCACAGCTTAATATCTTATGATTTGGAAGTTTCTGGTTTGTCTGTGTTTATTTTTACACAGGTTTCTATTGTTGGCTTACATGTTAACCAGTGGTTATTTTAACCTATGGGTTTGTCTTCTAAGAGCTTCTAATTTTGTTATGCCTATGATAGATAGGCTTTAGGGATTATAAATTCCATTTTTCAGTTAAAGGAGAAATGTGGGAGTTCACTGTAACAACTGATTATTTCATGGAAATGCTTAGTAGTAATAATACTAAGGATTAAGTTGTTTAAGCATGATTTGCACTGCTGCACTTTGCAGAAATCTCCTGTATGATAGAGAGTTGGTGTCACAGACTTAATGCCTTGGGAAAGATAAAGGTTTTGTTTTAAATTTATGCAAAACTAGGAGAGGTGAGGCATTCAGGAAAGGGAATGCCTTCAAGTAAAAACAAGTTTGAGGGGAAAATTGGTAAATATACTATGGCAAGTGGCTTCTTCTTAAGCCATGTAAAAAAACAAATAAATAGTAATTCCACTGATTTTTATGATATGCCTAGTAGTAAGTACAATTAGTATATAATACTGAATTCAGTATAACCAGTGCTTACTTTTTGACAGTTAAGTTTTTCTACATAGCAGGAGACAAAGGAGATTAATACAAGTCCTTCAGCACTCTTGCTGGGTAATTTAGAACCCAGAAAATTAATAAATTTTTAGCATTTAACATTTATTTGTAGGAGTAAGTTGTATGCATATTTAGCAATGTATTCAATTGTTACATGTTATCAACATTAATTTTGTATCATACTTTACTGCTTCTGAATAATTTATGTTGTAGGTTATCAGATATTTTTAGAAAATTACATCTTCCAGGTTTTACTTTTTATTTTACAGGTCTGCCTGTAAAATTTTTCCCCTTTCTTCCAGCTGTGCCATAGAAAATAGGCTCCTCAAACTGGCTTTACTGTAGTTAACTTTCAGTAGTTTTATTTTTCTAATTTTGGGTTACTGTTCAGATTCATTAAAATACAAATACAGTTCAAACTGTATTTATTATATTAACATCAGACTAAAATTCAGTTTAAATTCTGAGATTCACTCTTTACTGATACTTCATTTGAATTCACCTACCCCTTATATATAGTTTGAGTTTAAAACCTCATTTTTCTTTTCAAGCTAGGGTTTGGAAAGAGTCTTCTTTTTCCCTCCTCACTTTTCAATCTAAAACATTTAGATGTTATGCCTTAATAAAAGCATTGTACTAGATTCTCAAGATGATAGGGAAATAATGATATAATTCAAGATACTATAATCGCAGAATACACACACACAAATAATTTTATATAGTAATTGGCACTGATCTTTTATCTAAAAATACGTAAGCACATTTAAAACTTCAACTAGGTATTTAGCTCTGCTTTTTTTAAGGTTGATTACTGTAAGTGTATTTGCTTTATTGCAGGTTTGGGAAGGCCATTTAATCCTTAAATAGCAGAATATATGAAGGGATACTGCAGATATATTTTTAAATAGGATAATAGCTTGTGTTTAATGAAGCATTTTGTTAATAAACAGTGTCTTCAAATAAACATATTTTTTTCTAAAAAAGCCAAGACTAATAAATATTTTGCAGTAAATATTAGTAAATATAAGCCTTTTTTCCCCAACTATTATGCCATGCAAATATATGGCAATTGTGGTGTTTTGAGGTGGAGTATATGACACGTGCATACTTATATTATGAATTGTGGTGCTTTCGTTAAATCCCTATGGTTTGTTTGTTGTTTTTTTTTAATAGTCATTAAATGATTGAAAGAATTTAAATAGAAGAAATGAAATAAAAATAAATTGAAATAAATTAAAATTTCAAGAAAAATGAAATAAAAGAATTCTGGTTAAAGAATAGCGGCCAAACTATGTATAGATTTTTTATTGCGTATACTATTTTTCTGCAAGCCAGTTTTAGGGGGATCAAGTAGCTTCTCTTCGTTTTATGAGAAGTTTCAAAGAGCTACCTTTACTAGCTGAATAAGGAAGTGAATCACCTCAAGAAGCCTGGAGAGGGACTTTTTATGAGGACATGTAGTGATATGACAAGGGGGAATGGGTTTGAAGAGGGTAGATTTACATTAGATGTTAGATAAAAATTCTCATTGTGAGGGTGGTGAGGCCCTGGCACAGGTTGCCTACAGAGGTTGTGGTTGCCCCATCTCTGGCAGTTTTCAAGGTCAGGTTGGATGGGGCCAGGGACAACCTGGTCTAGTAGAATATGCTCAAGTCAGGGGGCTGGAAACATATGATCCTTATGGTTCCTCCCAACCCAAACCATTTTATGATTTATAAATGAATTAGTGAAATTACACTTCTCTTGAGAAACTGATTTTTGTTTTTTTTTTTTTTCTCTTATAAGTTGCAATTCAGTGTTTGGAGACTGTGTTTAAGATTAACCTGGAAGATACTCATCTTGCACCTCCACAGCATTTGATAGAAATTTTCACAAATTCTTTTCATAAGGTAAGAATTTTGTTAGATTCTAGAGTTACTCTCCCAATAGGTGCTAAGATTTCATATTGTATACACAACCTTGATGTGCTGTATAGGTCAAAATGACGTGTAAACTTAAGGAATACATGAAAAAGTGAAATTTCTGTGAAAGTTACCAGAATGACAATCTTTTGGGGCAGTGAGAGGAGTTGATTTCAGCTGGACAATCCATGCAGAAAATTCTAAACCGTGGATGTCTCATTCTCAGTTGAAGGATTTTACCTTTCAGTTAAGCATTTTGCAGTTCCCAGAGATAAATGTCTGCAAGGTGCTTGAGGTCATTTGCAGTTTGCTAATGCTTCTGCTCCCTTCTGAAAATAGTTAAGTTGCTCAGTTTTAAAAACATCCCCGTGAACACTAACCTTAAAATGGGAACTTCAAAAATGTTTACTAATAATATGTGTGATCTAAGAACCCCAGTACAGGCAACACAGGAGCCACTAGGTTAGCAAGTAGGAGAGTCAGAAGTAAAAAAAATCACCGTAGAGACATACCACCTTTCTTTCCCTTGATGTCCTTTAAAGTGTGTGGTGAGCCGTAAAGGGATTTTAGGAGCAGAAAGCAAGCTGTGTTTCTCTTGTAAGGATGTTTTGGTGATGTTTCATTCTTTCATGCTTCCTGTTCGCTACAGAAAATATGGTTGGTTGTTTATACAGTGCTGCCCAGGATGAAGGCAATTTTTAAGATAAAATCAAGGCAGATATTTTAATTAAAGAAATCTTGGTTTGTTTGCATACAGAATGACATGCTGTGTCTCTCGGATTCTTTACCAGAGGATGTTGAAAAGGCTGATCAGCTGAAGGATGAAGGTTTGTAATAAACATAGGAATAAACGTTTTATTCTTTTAATAAGACTTTTGGGTCATCATGGTTAGTTATAGTGTAGCAGCTGGGCTGTACAAAGCCTTAAGCTTATAGTCTCTGGTGATTGTTATGTTGTAAGAATGTTAAGTGAACTGCTCCACCTGGGGTTTAAGAAAATACAGTCTATTCTCTCCCTTGCTCATGAGGTTACGTAAAAGCTAAGGGACAGAATATAAAATCTTGGGCAATATTTCTGAATAGTAGACCCTCTAAAGAATGTGCAGTTATTTTTTGGTGTGTTATAGATTTTTCTGCTTGTCCATGAAATTGCTACACAAGTTTCTATTATGTATTGAAAAGGCTATGCGATATCAAAGGTTATGTGCTAGCTGAATTTGAAAGCATAGGTAGAAAGCTGACCCAGCTGAAGCTAGTCGAAAAATTCTTACTAGGGTTAGTATTTCACATATGTGAAATAATTTGTGTGCTCTGTAAAAACTGCAGAAAAGCCAGTTGTTTATTTTCCCTTTTGATAAATGTTACTGCTGTTATGTAAGGAAAAGCAGCTGTAGCATAGAAGTCTTCACTAATGCTACCCAAGAAGGAATCAATTTTATTTGTCTCAAAGAAGTGGAGGATGGGTAGAAGGCATGTAGCACTAATAACAGATGTGTATTGTTATCAGGTGGATGGATGCTTTATAAATCACATTTTTTTGATGTGTTGTGTTTTCAGATATATGAATTTTCTAGGAAAAATAACTAAGTTTCTAATTGCAAAGCAGATTTAATCCTCTCAAAAATTTCAGGATACTGATGTGGAAAAAGTTCTGGTGTTTTTGACAATAAGTTCCATGTCTGTCTTGACTTAAAACTGGCCATCTGTAGTCATGAATGCAGTTCATTACTGGCTCTGAAAGTAAGTTTTCCTAATTGGTGAAGTTATTCATTAGCTCTTGAATTCTAAGGGTAAGTGATTAAACAAGGTTAGGTCAGAAGTGAAGATTAATTAGTAAGTTGTAACATACACCTGCTGTACATGCTGGCTTTTCATTTTGCTGTGTGTTACTGCCAGCTCATGGGATTGAAGAGTACCTGTAGCACTCAATATGATTATTGGGCTGTACTGATAGTCAGCACTTTCCAGGTGTGGGTATTATAGCAATACGGGGTTTAAATCTTTGACTTCTGTCTTATCTGTCAGCTCACATGGGTTTGTGGAAGACTGAGGAAATTAAATTAATGCGTACTACATATTACTCTTTGTATGGTGTTACTAAAGCAATTTCATGTCTCTACTGAAAAAAACTGAAAGGGTCTCTACTTCGACAAAGGGCCATTTAAAGTGTCAGCTATCAGGGGCGTTACTAAGCAGTTTGGAACTGCGTGAAATGCCTTTGGTTAATTTCCCATAATAAAAGTAAAACTTCCTGCCCTGCTGCTCTATCGTGTTAATACTCCTAATTTTATCATGTTAATAAATGGTTAGAACAGTGGTGCCATAGTCAGGGGTTTGGTATCTAGAACATAGGACTCAGCTTAGGAGGCCAGGTCTACTGGGGGCTGGTGGGGCTGGTTTAAGGGGAAGAGCTGTTTTCATAGGAGGCTTGCCAGGCTGGTCAAGAAAGCTTTAAACTAGGTGTGTTGAGGGAGGAATCATTTCATCCGAACACACCCATCAGTCACCAGCACCTATAATAAATGCTTGGAGCAATGTAGAGATATTCCAGCCGCTCCAGCCAATGAGCCGATTTCATTTGAAGTTCAGATCAGATGCCTCTATACAAACGTCCGTAGCATGGGGAACAAGAGGAATTAGAGATGTGTGCAGGTCTATGGGGATATGATATAATAGGCATCACAGAAACATGGTGGGATGGCTCCTACGACTGGAGTGTTGGAATGGGAGGTTACAGGTTCTTTAGAAATGACAGGGGAGGGGGAGTTGCTATTTATGTTAGGGATAGGTTGGAGAGTATGGAACTCCGTCTGGGGACAGGTGAGCAGTCAACAGGGTTCATGGATCAGGATCAAAGGGAGAACAGCGATGGAGGACATTACTGTGGGGATCTGTTACAGACCGCCTGATCAAGGAGAACCTGTGGATGAAGCACTCTATAGACAGCTAGGAACAGCCTTACGTTCGCAGGCCCTTGTTCTCATGGGGGACTTCAACCACCCTGGTATCTGTTGGAGGGATGGTACACCCCCGCACAAGCAATCCAGGAGGTTCCTCAATTGTGTGGAAGACAACTTCCTTCTGCAAGTAATAGAGGAGCTGACAAGGAGAGGTGCCATGCTTGACCTTGTGCTCACCATCAGGGAGGGGCTGGTTGGAAATGTGATGCTCCAGGGCAGCCTTGGATGCAGCGATCATGGGATGGTCGAGTTTGAGATCCTCAGGACAGTGAGAAGAGCGTGCAGCAAGCTCACTGCCCTGGACTTCAAGAGAGCAGACTTTGGCCTCTTCAGGAACCTGCTTAGTAAGGTTCCATGGGATAAAGCCCTAGAGGGCAGGGGGGCCCAAGACTCTTGGTTGAAATTCAAGGATCACCTGCTACAGGCTCAGGAGTGTTGCATCCCAACTAGAAGGAAGTGCAGCAGGAGGGCCAGGAGACTTCCTTGGATGGATAAGGAGCTGCTGAGGAAACTTAAGAGGGACAAAAGGTGAAAGCAAGGACAGGCGGCCTGGGAAGAATACAGGGATGCTGTCCGGGAAGCTAGGGACCAGGTCAGGAAAGCTGAGGCCCAGTTAGAATTAAACTTGGTAGGGATGTGAAAGATAACAGGAAGGGATTCTATAGGTACACTGCGAATAAAAGACTGGGGACAACGTCGGCCCCCTCTGGAAGCTATCAGGAGAACTGGCTACCCTGGATTTGGAGAAGGCTGAGGTTCTGAATGACTTTTTTGCCTCAGCCTTCACTGGCAAATGCTCTGGTCATACCACCCAAGTCTTGGAAAGCAGACGCAGGGACTGTGAGAATGAAGACCTTAGGCCCACTGTAGGAGATGATCTGGTTTGAGACCATCTTAAGAACCTAAATGTGCACAAGTCCATGGAACCTGATAAAATCCATCTGTGGGTCCTGAAGGAGCTGGAGAATTAAGTTGCTAAGCTACTGTCCATATTTGAAAAATCATGGCAGTCAGGTGAAGTTCCCAATGACTGGGAAAAGGGAAATATAACCCCCATTTTCAAGAAGGTGAAAATGGATGAACCACGGAACTACAGACCAGTCAGTCTCACCTCTGTGCCTGGCAAAATCTTGGAGCACATTCTCCTGGAAGGCATGCTAAGGCACATGAAAAACAAAAAGGTGCTTGGTGACAGCCAGCATGGCTTCACTAAGGGGAAATCCTGCCTGACCAATTTGGTGGCTCTCTATGATGGGGCTATGGAGCTGATGGACAGGGGTAGAGCAGTTGATATCATCTACCTGGACTTGTGCAAAGCGTTCGACACTGTCCCACACAACATCCTTGTCTCTAAATTGGAGAGGCATCAATTTGATGGATGGACCACTCGGTGGATAAAGAACTGGCTGGATGGCCACACACAGAGAGTTGTGGTCAATGGCTCAATGCCCAACTGGAGACCAGTAACGAGCGGTGTCCCTCAGGGATCGGTGTTGGGACCGGTCTTGTTCAACATCTTTGTCGCTGACGTGGACAGTGGGATTGAGTGCGCCCTCAGCAAGTTTGCCGATGACACCAAGCTGTGTGGTTCAGCTGATACACTGGAGGGAAGGAATGCCATCCAGAGGGACCTTGACACGCTTGTGAGGTGGGCTGATGCCAACCTCATGAAGTTTAACCATGCCAAGTGCAAGGTCCTACACCTGGGTCAGAGCAATCCCAGGCACAGCTACAGGTTGGGCAGAGAAGAGATTCAGAGCAGCCCTGAGGAGAAGGACTTGGGAGTGTTGGTTGATGAGAAAATGAACATGAGCCGGCAGTGTGCGCTTTCAGCCCAGAAAGCCAACAGCATCCTGGGCTGCATCAAAAGGAGCATGACCAGCAGGTGGAAGGAGGTGATCCTGCCCCTCTACTCTGCTCTCGTGAGACCTCACCTGGAGTATTGTGTGCAGTTCTGGTGTCCTCAACATAAAAAGGACATGGAACTGTTGGAACAAGTCCAGAGGAGGGTCACGAGGATGATCAGGGGAATGGAGCACCTCCTGTATGAAGACAGGCTGAGGAAGTTGGGGCTGTTGAGCCTGGAGAAGAGAAGGCTGCGTGGAGACCTCATAGCAGCCTTCCAGTATCTGAAGGAGGCCTGTAAGGATGCTGGGGAGGGACTTTTCATTAAGGACTGTAGCGACAGGACAAGGGATAACGGGTTAAAACTTAAACAGGGGAAGTTTAGATTGGAAATAAGAAGTTTTTTACTGTGAGGGTGGTGAGGCACTGAAATGGGTTGCCTAAGGAAGTTCTGAATGCTCCATCCCTGGCGGTGTTCAAGGCCAGTTTGGACAGAGCCTTGCTTGAGATGGTTTAGTGTGAGTTGTCCCTGCCCATGGCAGGGGGGTTGGAACTAGGTGATTTTAAGGTCCTTTCCAACCCAACTATTCTATGATTTTCACACGTGTCATCACTCACCACTATCATGCTTTTCAGTTATGAGTATTCTCTGCCCTGAGTTAGGGAGGTAAATTAGATAACTTGAGAAGGTCCATTTCATAGAATCATAGAATAGTTAGGGTTGGAAAGGACCTTAAGATCATCTATTTGACCCCTATCTTCTATAATACTTTAATTCTGTAACTGTTATTTATTTCTGTTTGTATGTCCTTACAAATGGAATAGCTTTCCTCACCTTTGTGTCGACCAGACTGATTATTCTCTGCTCTCAGTAGAAACTGGCTAATAAATGGCAAATCAGAATCAGATACCTGAGTTTTCTTCCTTGGTTATTATAAAACTAGGAAGTACTCTACCCTCTAGGCTAGTAAATAATTTACTTGTCTACCCTTGTATATCACTTGACACTTTGCCTTAATATAAGCTATGTAAGAGCATGGATTATGTGCAGGTTTTGGTGCTGTAACAGTGGCTTGATTGTTAAAAGATCTGGGTTGTTACCACAGGATAAATTATAACAATAGGTAGTATTTTTGTTACAGAAGATACACAGTGAAAAGTATAACCATTTGTGGGGTTTTTTGTCTTAAGAATTTTTGTGTGGCATTGAAATAAAGTATTAGAGTTGCTTTTCCTTTTGTCCTGAATTGCTTAATCTCAGCAGAAATAGTAGGTCTAGCTATTTATCTGTTTTCTTAGTTAATTTTAAGCTGGAGAGAGAGCAAGAAAGGTGCCTGCTGATACTAGCTCCAACTTACCCTGCACCCCAGGTTATCTTTAGTTCAGAGCAGTGTCAGAAATTCCCACTTTGATAGTCATTGATGGCAGTTTTGTTTCAGAGTAATGTTAACTGCTGCAATTTCATTGAGTGCAGCTAACTTGCAAGTCTTTAGTTTGACAACAGAATTTAATACACAGACTCTTACCTTAGATCAAAGGAAAGACGTGCAGATGGTGGGCCTCTAGAACTGAGGCAGATACAGTTAGGTATTTGTGTATATTCAAAGTATACTTGTATGTTTTGACAGCATAAATGTAACTATATTTTTAGTTTGCCTTCTCACTGGTAGGGATTGCTCACTATAATTACAGTCTAGAACAGCATTATTAGGAAGAAGTGATTTTTGTACTATCTTGATGATAGTTACATAAATCTGATTTTGTTTATTAAGCCCTCCATATTCACAAATAAATGCAAGTATAGTTGTTTTCAATTAGTACAGGCACCGGACTGCTTGCTGCACAGTCTTTTGCTTTCTATCAGTCAAGCTCTTGCAATGACTGAACTTTTCCAGCCTTTGCTTACGCAGTTATCTGTGTCTGTAGTAACCTGTGGACCTATTTCTTCTCTTGCTTATTTTGTGAGAGATTTGGAATATTTTGCCAAAATACAAGAAAGTCTTCGGAAGTGCATCATTTTCCTGACAAATTCTTGACATTTCTGGGAAACCAAGGCTTCTATAGGACCTAGCAGGCCAAAGATCCATAGCTGCAGGACCAGGGACAACCTTAAACTTAGGCACTTTGAACTAGGACTTTTTATCTACTACTTTGTCATCAGGAAAGAAAGAAACTACCAGGTCTGGACTGTGCTGAGGAGGAAAGAATGTGTAAAATATCTATCTTTTGTTTTGAAAGACCTTACTCCAGATTTTTTTTTTACATAGGAAAGTAATATTTTAATTTTTTTTTTCCACTGGCCTTAAAAAATATGAAATATGAACTTCATTATAGAGTAGAAATTCTGAGCTTTGGTAGTGATAAATGTTACCTCTGAGTCATTTAGATTTCATGTGCTATGCCTACTTTTCATTATCTTGATGAGTAAATTATGTGGCATCGGAATTTTTAGTGCACAGTGTTTAGTTTTGCTTTTGTTTCATTGTCCATGTTAGATGGATAGTTACAAGCAAGTTGTTGGGACATGAGAAAATGAGATCAGAAAGGAGTTAACATGTAGCCTGTTGGATTATGAGGCTTGCAAAGATAGTTAAGACTGATGAATCTGTATTAGAGTGGAACTGCAATTACAATTATGCTTCTCAACAGTAATCTTTGCTTAACAGCAGAAACTAGCTGGAAAGTATAAAATAGTAAAATAAGAAGGGAAAGGATAATGTGGGGGACTACAATGCACATAATAAACTTTACAGACATAGTAGCTGGTTTTGTTTGTATTATTCCATGCCAATTCTACTTAAAAGAATATATTTCAAAAACCTGGAGTCATAACTTCCTTATATGGGTGCTATAACGTGACTGCTCTATTTCTTTCATACATAGCATGGTATCTTGTAACTGCTTAAAAGCTTTTTATAATTTATTTCAGGTAATAATCATATGAAAGAAGAAAATTATGGTGCTGCAGTCGATTGTTATACTAGGGCTATAGAACTGGATCCAAAAAATGCAGTCTATTATTGCAACAGGTAAAAAAAAAAACAAAAAACCACTCTTTTCATTCCTTAACTTCATTAACATTATTTTAAAGATAAATTGTGAAGCAGATCAAAACAATGTGAAGGTAGAATACCCCACTATTCAGAAAGTTATCATGTTAATTCTATGAAAGATCTAAAGCAAAAGTGAGCTCATTCAGCATGTCAGTTGAAGGTGTAATATGGGCTTTAAAATTACTTGTAACACTTGATATTAGGTTTTTGTGAGTTAGGCTGTCTGTATTAATCATAACATAGGCTGTGGTATGCAGTCTGTTGAGAGTAATAAAAATCTTATTTGCTGGTGTTGTGTTGACTCAGATGCCATCACTATCTCACCATCGCTAAGTCAATACCATGACACCCCCTTGGAAAAAAATTATCAATGTGGGTACTATTTTGAAGATTTCAAGCATTGTATAAACAACACTCACCAGTTTTATGCATGACCTGCTCAAGAAATATCAAGGTTGTAGTTTCATTGTATAATCTGTTCTTCACCATAGTGAAGACATAGTGACGTGGGAGCAGATAAAGTCTGGAGGTGCAGTAGCACAAGTACGCTCTTTCAGTATACTGCCCAGAAGACCAGCATAAGAGCAAAGGCAGCATAGCCTATGAGCCCTACTGGAACTAGCCTGTCTCTAGAGCCAGTCTGCTGTACAGCCTTCAGTGCCTCTCTTACCAGAACAATGTGTTAACTTGAGTCCTGTCAGTCTGGCCTTGTGGCACTGTATGCAGAGGATTTTCCTGGTTTTGGAGTTGTGCTTTCATTACTCCAGTGTTTAGTGTCTGATAAATGCAAGTGAAAGATTCAGTGTTTCATGGCAAGCATAAAAAGAAAGGAAATTAGTAGTTTACTAGTATTTTACATCTTTAAGATGCGGTTCAAAGTGTTTATCATCTATTTTGCTTGAGAAAACTGATCACATACGTGATTTTAGGTATAAAATGGAAATAGAAGACCAGATTCAAAAGCCTTCCAAAATCACTGTAAGTTTCCTCAAAATGGGCTTAAGCACCAAATCTGTAATTGACAAGAGAAAAAATACTTCACTGTGTGTTACATCATCACGTAGCATATCTGTGAGGACAAAAATAAATCCTGATGTCAGTAACTACAGTAATGTATGAAGTTACTTAAAAGAAGATGGGCAATTGCTTGGAGTTTTGTGGGTGATAACAGTTATTTGAATAAATATAGGCCTTTTTTTTACCTTTCTTAAGCTAGTTTGGGAGCAATGGAGACATAATGCCTTCAATAGTATTGTTTTTTATGCACAGCAGTAAGAAAAAGAGCTGAGATGCCCTCCAATTTTAAACTAGATGTATAAATTTTTTGTAAACATGGAAAAAACATTTTCTGCTCAAAGATGAGAAACTAAGCATTGTCCCCAGCTTTTATCCACTGGCATCTGTGGAGTTGGACAACTGTTAAGTAGCCTAAATATTTAAAATATAAAAGTAGCCTTATTCAGAAGAGATTTTAATCAAAGTAAAAAATGAAATTTGGAGGTTATTACAGGAGAAAGGATTGAGTATAGTGATGATTGTAGCATCTGGCATTCCTAATAAACAAGACAAATGCTTTATGAAATGGAAATAACTGTCATTTATACTCAAGGAAGAACAAATAATGTTTTGAGACCTTTCAAACTGGGGAAGTTTTGCTTACTAATCTGTTCCACTGTCCTTTTTTTTTTCTTTTTTTTTTTTTGCTAAATAATTGAGCAAGAAAAAATCGTAACATTCTTCAGAATGACAGCTTTCTTGCTGGAAAACTCCAATTGTGTAAAATACTTCTGCTTGAGCAATAATTTTATGTAAAATACTACTTGAGAGTTTCACTTCTAATAGGTTTTATGATGATTATGCGCATAGTCATATGCTGGATCTAAACCAGCTCCTTATAACTATTTACCCTTTGTGTCCTCAGAGTTGAGTGTGTGTTCTCTAAAGCCCTAGTCTGGTAATGAACTTAAGCACATACTTAATTTGGAACATCTGCTTGTCCCCCTTAGTTGAGGAAAGCTGAGGCATTACCTAAACAGTGACTGAAAAGTCAGTAAGATTAAAGAAGTTGAAAGTTGGTCCTTGACGTGTCAATATCCAAGCTTGGGTTTTTTTAACTTTATTGCTTTTTTGACAAAGCTCTCTCCTTTCCCTCTCATCTTTCTCTTAGGGCTGCTGCTCAAAGTAAGCTCAACAACTACACTGAAGCAATAAAAGATTGTGAGAGTGCCATAGCAATAGATCCAAAGTACAGCAAAGCATATGGCAGAATGGGGTAAGCTAATACAAATCTGAGAAAACACTGAAGACCCAAGTGTAAATCATGTTCTGAAATAGTGGAGCTGGGTTGTTCTGCTTAGCTGACATACTTGTTCTGAAATTGCAGCAATTTTCTGAAGATGACCATATCAAGCTGCCAGCTTTAAGTTTTATGTATGTGGTTGGTATCAGCATTTTCATATCAGATTTTATCAGTTTGCAATTCTTTTTTCTTTCAATTTATCAATTTTGTGAATTTAGTTTACAAAGTCATGATGTGGTTTTGCACCTCCTACCTAGTTATGAGTAATCAAAATTCTGCAGTTGGAATTGTGAATCTATTAATGATACTGCTGAGAAAACAGAATCCTGAAACTGGCTGAATAGACGCTTAATTTTTCTGTTCAGTAGCTCTTTGAAAGCCAGTATTTTAGCAAGGCTAAGCTATGCCCCTCTGGTAGTTTTTCCTCAGTCATGTCTGAGAGATTAACAGTATAGCCTCTTTAGGTGGCGGGTGTGATTAAGTGCTACCTGAAAAAAATACAGGAATCTTCTGAATGAGATATCTATTTGAGTGAAGGGCCATTCTTTCAAGATGTGTAGCTTTGCATTTTCAATAATAAGACATGCTGTGGGTATAGGCAGAATGCTGCATGAGGCTTTTGAGGTTATATCTATGCTAGTAAATTTAAAAATGCTTGAGATTGTTCATTGGGTCAGCTGGCACAAAATGGCCTGTGTCCATGTTATTTAAGTCTAGGTTGCAATATGGAGTGGCCTCATCCAAACTATCTATTGCTAAATTGCATTGGCCTGTGTTAAATTCTGAACTGTGCTCCCAAATTGTCTGGGATAATGCTTATTGGCCTGGCACAAACCATGCCAGGGTGCATTTATTTAAGGTCAAAGATGATGGAGTTCTGTCACTTGAAACCTTTCCACAACACAGTTTATTTTACTAACACAAAGGTAGCCTGTCTGGCTTTTGAAATGATTAATTCATTTTGAAATTTTAGGGACTGTTGAATTGGTTTTGTCCTATTTAACTCTTAAGGACAGCCTGAGATCCCCCAGTTTCAGTGAGATGGAGGGAAGCTACAATTGATTTAATTGGGAATTGGAGGATATTTTAGAGTTAGGGGTATAAAACCATTGTGCCTTTTGATAAACAACATTAAGTGGGATCATTCTTAGGCAATCAGCAACTTTTTTTTTTTCTTCTTTTCTCTTTTATTGTCTGGTTGTTTTGATAGAGGGTTTATTTTGAGCTACAAGCCATTCCTTGTATCTGCCAGTAGATGGATAAAATAATACATCTGGCATAATCTTAATAAGGAAACAGTGCTCATTTAGTAGTAACTGAAAAAAACACATGCAGAAACCACCTCACCTCCTTATGAGAAAGCTATGTTTTCTGACTGCATTATGCAAACATGTTAGTTTTTCTCAGAATTTGGCAGCAACTCTGTCACAGAAAGATGCAGGACTGCCACAGAAATACGCAGACACAGGAGCCATGTAGGCAGTTAAAGTGCATTGCCAGCATGACCCTAAGGGGGCACATGTCTGGGTAGGAATTGTGAGCAAAGAAACTGTTGCCTGCTGGTTCTGGCTTGAACTGTGTTCCAAGAAGCAGAGTTTTGCATACTTTCCCTGTAAAAAAGCCCCACAGTTGCATCACAGAAATACTGGATTGCATTTTTTGTCTGGTCAGATACTTTTGGCAAGTAAATGGGCCAAAAGGGAGAATGGTTTTTATGGGACTAACTGTGTTAAGGGAGTATCTGTGTTAAGAGAGAAAACATTAATATTGCATGAGTTCATCCACGAGCGTTACTGGAAGCTCCTGGAGATTCATGCTGTTAGTGAGTTCATCGTCACTGAGTGTGATGGCTGTGACTGTGTCTAACACACCAAGCTCTCTGGCCTGAGATAAAAAACAAAGGTCCATTAGTAGGCATTAACACAGGCTTACCAATCAACACAGTCTGTGCAGCTCAGCACATATCAAAGAGGGACTGGAGTACTGAATAGCTGAAGGTGGGTTACACAGATCTTCCACAAAATGTGGAAAAGATCAGTTTAGTTTTGTCGTAAGTATAAACTGAAAATAAAAAAGTCATAATAGAAACTGCAACCAGATGGACTTCTGGAACAGCTCAAAGATAATGTTTTAAATGTAGTACCTAATCGAATTTGAAAACACTGTTTCAAGAGTGGTAGATCTGTGCTGTGCTCTCCTGAGCTGCCGGAGATGATTCTTTTTCAAAACATTAAGCAGACTTCTCCAATAAAAGGGTTTCTTACAGCATCTTACAAACGTTATTACTGTTCTCTGTAGCCCCTTTTCAAGCTGTTGAAGTAGAAGATCTGAAAGGAGAACATTGAACTCATCCCAAGACAAAAATCTACTATGCTGAAACTTGTGGTTTTGTTGTTTGGTTTCTTGAAGCTGCAAAACTCATATTAAGAATATCTTTGCCTTACTTATCCATTTATCACTGAATCACTTGATGATGCCAAGGAGTTTTAAACTTGCACATATATGGAACAGACAATACAAGATGAGTTCCTAAGAGATAATCCCTACTGCAAAAACAAGTGCTTGTTACACTAAGCAGTAGTGGCACAATAGCAAAACTTGCTTTACTTTAGAGCTCAAGCTAAAATTTAGTTGTGAGATACTGTTTTACATAGAACAGAAAATGTATCATTATCTTTTGATGGTCATTTATGTTCTACCCAGGATTTCTTTATTTCATATTAGGTTGGCTCTGACCTCAGTGAATAAATATGAAGAAGCAGTTACCAGTTATCAAAAAGCACTGGATCTTGATCCAGAGAATGACTCTTACAAATCAAATTTGAAAATAGCAGAACAGAAACTAAGAGACATGTCCAGTCCTGTAAGTTAGCTCTGTATCTATTTATTTACAATAGTTTAAGGGGGATTTTGTAGGTAAACTTACCTTCAGTTGCAATTTGTTTTTTAGACTGGAACTGGACTGAGTTTTGACATGGCAAGCTTGATAAACAATCCTGCATTCATTAGTATGGTGAGTATATTTCAAGCTTCATATTGTTTTTAAAAAGTTTTAAGAACAGCTCCAACAACACAAGCAATTCTAATGCTTATTATAATGGCAGTGGTTTCATTATACTGCATTTAAACTTTCTAAGTAATTCTACGCTCAAAACAAGAAGTGAAGCATAAATCTCCTATAACAGGAGATATAACTGTCTTATTTACAGTTGATTCTATCATGCTTATGAACAACTGTGTGCATAGATTAGCTATGCTGTTTTTATAGATGGCATGATAGTAAAACACTTGTCAACAGCATGGTGAAAATTTCTTTGCTATTCTCCATATAGGAGTTAACAAGTACATAGATATCCCCTCTTAAGTGAATAGCAGCTGATTCAGATTCAAGACTGAAGTAATTCTGCCTGGGGAGAAATACCCAAGAGACCTTTCTTTCTGCGATAAATTCTTTCAGTTTATCTCTGAAAATTAAGTGTGCAAAACTTCATATGATGTGCAGACAAGAAATATAAACAACCTGTAGTACATTCCTTTACTTCCACTACAGTGTACGTAGTACATTGGCAAATTGTGGTTTTGTCCCCAGGTAGGTACTGCCCTTCTGGTAGTTCTCTTAGGACAGGACATGTCAACCAGTGCTTCTGTATGGAAGTGCACTGCATGCAAGAGGGAGATACATCTAGTCCGATACAATGGTCCAACTAATATTGATGGTAGGCAAGGAAGAAGTGAGTTCTCCAGTGACATTAGTGGTTAAATAGAACTGTAATTCTGTGTACCACTTCAAAAACTACTTGAGCTACTAAGACAGTCTGCATCTGTTTATAGAGTCAAAGATGTACTCTTCAATATGGAGAAACTTGGGGAAACTATGGGGAAAAGATTTTTTTACATCATTTCCAGAAGATGCCTGGTCAAGTGAAGAGAACACAGGGCATTCTCCGAGGAATGAATGAATTATTTTTGTGTGATGTAGTTTTTTGGTTTTAAGGAAAAAAAAATAACTCGCTGTCTGACTGACAAAGTTACTTCTGCCTTACCTTCTTGGGTCCCCTAACCTGGATCAGGCTGTTGCTGATAGAAGAAGGAAAAAAATAAAAATCATGTATTACCCATAGAATTGACCAGTATTTGGCATTTTCTATCCAACTAAACTCAAGAATAACAGTTGATTTAATATTGATATAGATTACATGTCTAGAGATACGGATCAACAAAATAAATATTGCATATATTTGGGGTTTGTAGTATGTTTAATAAGAGAGTGAATAAGCAGACACTGCATTGTGCCTGTAGGTCTTGTATTCATACAAACACTGATTTCTGGATGAACTAGATTATTAACTTTGAAACATCACCTGGTTTATCCCATAGTATCTGTCCATATATACCCTTACACTGTGGTAAACGCAATATAATTTTTTGAGGTATCTTACGAATGAGAAATTTAAATAACCTTATGCTTACTACAGGTATCTTAGAAGATATGTTACCACAAAACCATGCTATGAAAAAACTTCACACTCTGGTTTATTCTGCGGTATTTTGTGCCTGTAATCTTAACAATTTGTGCCCAGTAGTAATAGTCACTGCAAAACTGGTTTATCCAGGCTAAGAATTAACAAAATACTGAAATACGATACAGACCTTTCTCAAAAAAACAACAGCAAACTTTTGTCCTTGAAATTATATTTTTTTTTCATTTTGTGGTACAGGCTTTTTATATTATTTTATGTCTGAATCTGTAACAACTATTTTTTTTTAATATAATTTAACAAATTGTCTCAGCTTTCTGTCCTTGAAATACTTTTATGTATTTTATGTATTCATCATCCTGTGATGATTTTTTTGCTAGGGACTGTACATCTCTTGTGTATATAAACATAGCTGAATTGTATAATAGAACACAGAATACAGCATGTTTCCTGGGTTTTTTTTATTCCCTTATTTTCCTCAGTGATACCTAAGTAGTAAATGTGTCATAATTTCAGCTATGTGTTGTCTGTTCTAGGCAGCAAGCTTAATGCAGAATCCTCAAGTTCAACAACTGTAAGTACTAAACAGAGTACCATTAAAACAGAGGTATTTAGGGGTTTGAATTAATAAGAGAAAAGGTGGATAAAAATTAATTTTATTTTTGCTCACTGTAAATAAACTACTGCAGTTTCCTCCTCTTGCAGCTTATTTCCTACAAGCAATTAAAACAAGAACGGTGATTTATTGTTTACTGTGAAGGTCCCTGCATACCCTAATGCCAATGCTGTGCTAACTGTTCCAGGATGTCAGGGATGATGTCCAACGCCATTGGTGGCCCTGCTGCAGGTGTTGGTGGCCTGTCAGATTTGTCCAGCCTGATCCATGCGTAAGTAAGAACTGCATAGTTTTTAGCTGTTACATTTGTAGAAGCATTATTGTGTAACATCTGTTTAAAAGGGATAGTGTCAAGCCAATTATACTGTGGCCTGTCATATGTCTGATTATTACTAAAACTGAGAACTTAAAAGGTTTAATTTCCACTATCTTTTTTTGTTTGCTTTGTATGTTTCCATTAGTTGGAATGACTGAACTGTGTGCTCAGTTTCATTTTCTAGTTCTCCTACACTGTTTAGTTTCTAGATGCCACTTACTAAAAGTGCTCCCTTAAATCTCTAAGTACTTCTACAAGTGCTTTTAAATTGGGTTGATAAATCTACTACCTGATGACCCAAACACTAGTTTGAAAAGCTACAGATTTACTTTGTATAGGTTGCAACAAGTGCTGCACTTGCATCCCTCTGTTTAGACTAGGAAGGCTTCAGAAAACTCGGTATGAGTAGCTTTTACAAAAAACAGGGCCCAAGGCTTTTATATTGTAACAATAATCCATCTGGAAGAGCCTGCACAAAAATTCCATTTTCATATAGGAAAGACCTTGTAAAGTGCATACAGTTTTACTTTATTCTAGCCTATTTCGAAGTATTTTTAAGTTTTGCCACTTCAGGACAAAAATGCAGAAGTTAGAGAGAAGCCATGACAAGCTCTTCATGAAGTCACATATTTTACTTGCCTTTTCTAGTAAACCTGTGTTATGCTTATATTTTACATAAAATTAATGTCACCTATTAATTTAACTCTCAAGCTAGAGCAGTTACAGAGACGCATCTGTCATTACTTCAGTCACACAGGACATTAAAGGTGTAACTGTATGCTTGCTTTCAACTAACGGAGTCCTGCTCACGAGTACGCATTGGCAGCCACACGCTGCATTTTTGGAAAAACTAATACAAGGCTGTGCTTCACTACAAGAGCAGTTATCTTAAACAACCTCACAAAAAGAAGGGAGCAAATCACTGGAGCAGATTGATTGCTAAATTTTAGTTTTTACTTTCTCCTCCATTACATCAAATAGCAGCAATAGTCTGAAAGAATGAAGATCTGATGATAATCCTGTTTGCAGAAGACTTTTACTAGATATAAAGTCAATACCTTGATTAAGACTATACAGCAAGTTACCTTCAGTCTTAATTGTCATATAATATACCTTTCAGTTATATTGGGATGACCAGTTTTCTTGAAAATGCTGCTTGTCATTTTTTTCACTTGATTTTCCTTAAAACTGTTCAACACAGGGGGCAGCAGTTTGCACAACAGATACAGCAGCAGAATCCAGAGCTCATAGAGCAACTGAGAAATCACGTCCGGAGCAGATCTTTCAGTGGCAGCACTGAAGAGCATTCCTGACTTAAAGGAGGCATGTGAATTGGAATGGTATATAGCCCCAAAATGCGTACCATAGTTAGTAGAAAAAGCACCGTTGTAACTCTTGTGCTTGAATAGAAGACAGAAAATTCTTTGTGCGTATTTGCAAACAAGAATAAATCTGTTAAACAGATCTGTTGCACATAACTTGGAACATACCATTCATGTATAGTTAACTCCTGCAAATTAATACACTAATAGGTGGTTTATTAAAATCCCTAAGTACAAGTAATTTTCAGTATGTGCATTAGATTGATCTCCAGGGCTATTGAGTGAGGAGTTTTGTAGTGGGCTGATCTCGCATAATAGCATAATTCTAAAATCCTACTGTAAAAGGCATGTTATTCTTATGTAAAAATCATTATGGCTCTACTCCTGTTAAATATGGAAATAGTAGGCCCATCTGATACGCCCTTTTATAATGAGCATAAATCAGTGTTGGAGTATAGAGTACACTTAAAACTAATGCTTGAAAAGTCTGTTTCTTTAAGCCTGTGGAGGGGCTGTCACTAGTAACATGAAATATTTTTCAACTTCACTGGGCGGGAGGGCGGAAGATGGTTGCATACGAACGAGTACCACAGATTGTTGAGAAGACACAAGTCCTGAGCAAGATAATACACAGAAACCAATATGGAACTTGGTTTGGGAAAGGAAATAGTATTAAGAAGTTCTAGGCTTTTTTACTGCCATATATACCTTCAGATCATGATGGCAGCCCTGGAGGTCAGCATTATGGCACTATTTTCTTACACATGGCAGACTGTATTACATTCTATATGTATGCAGTATTTAACATAAGCTTAAAATTCGTAACTAATAAGCTAAAACTGTTCCTGTGACTGTACAAATAACTAATACTGAAAATTTATAAAAAATAATTTGCCTTAGAAAGGATTATCTTTCTATTCTTGTGTGGTAAGTTGCTGGCCTAAACAATAATTTTTTTTTTTTTTTTTTTTTTTAAGTTTCTATGTTAAAGTGATGGTTATATGGCCATAGTAGAGATTTTTCCACTCTATAGCATTTTGGTTCCTACCCTGGCTTTTCTTGCTCAGTTAATCTTACTCTTGCAGAGACAACTGCTTTTCTGTATTTTTATTATGTTAACTCTTTTATGCTGCTTACTGTTTAAACAGCTTGCTGGTACAGTGTAGGTTTTTTTTTACTCCAGGGAGGTTCTCAATGCTCACATTTTCCTCTCTGAATATCAAAACTAATTTGAGGAGCCTGCTTTGATTTCTAAGACAGGGTGATATCTGCTGGCCAGATAGACTGGAGAAGGTATGTGGAGGGTTAACATTAGACTCTCAAATAGAGAAATACACAGGAACTTCTGGACCTCAGACTTTGTATCAGATTCATCTTGCGGTCAAAAAAGAGCACCTCAAGTAGGAATAAATGCAGAATTTGGAGTCATGCTTGACTTGAGGAAATTATAGTTGTGCATCTACTTTATGAGTCTTCCCCATGTTAAAACAGGGAGAGGGGGGGAAATGCAGCTGGATCCAAGGAGAAATTAAAAGAATTGGAGAAAACAAAAGAATAGGAAATCTATATTGCCATCTGTTGAATTAAGAGGTAAAGCTCAATACAACAATTAAAACAACTTTAACACATTGCATACTTTATTCAATAGAACTTGCCTATACACAGCATTAAAATGCTGCTTCTTTAAATTCTCTAAGTTTCCATACTTGCCTTTTTGAGGCTGTAGAGATACTTAACCTTTGTCTTAAAAATACATTTCCAAGTAACAGCTTCTGAATTAACATCTGATGACAATCTCTAACAGCATCTTTTTTTCAGAGGTTGTTCAGATCCTGAGTTCAAGAAAACTGCTACCTAAGTTCTGTTACGTTAATAGGACAGGATACCATTTACAAGAGCGAGCCATGGAAGCTGTAAGTGGGCTACAACTACTGTACAAACATTGCTTGGAGTGGCATGTTGTGTCAGGAGAGAAGCACTGCTCCTAGCATGTCTCCTGGTAAACTTCACTGTTCCTCTTACTGCTCTCTTTCATATTTTCACCTGCTCAAAGTGAGTTTTCCTAGCTTTGATACGGGGAACCAATAAATCCAGAGTGGGCTGGACAGCACTGCAGTCTCTCTCACACTCAGTTTATACTTACTTTGTGGCAGCTATCTTCATGCTACCAGTTACCTTTCTACTTTAAGACAGAAAAAAGTGTGAAGAACCTCTTGAGAGTTCTTAGAGAACAGCAAACTACAACAGTACTCAAAGGCTGGCTGCAGAAGTTGTACTGTCAAGTAAAATATAGCTTACTGGATTTATGGGAGAACTACCCCCAGGGTTAAATGGGATGAAGCATTGGTTAGTTACCTGAAAACTAGTCTTGAAATCATCTTTATAGAGTGGTAACTTTCTTTTCACATACTGATATGTTTAGGTTTAACTCCAGTATAGACAATATGTAACCAGAGTATTTACTAAAATACTGATGGCATTAGCTAACCCTTTAGGAATGTGCTACAACTGGCACACTACTTAACTTGTAAACATTCTGTTTCTTGTATATTAACAGAAAGGGCTTTATAGCCTAAATGAAAAGCAGTGAAACCAATAACAGGAGCTGCCATTACATGCTTTTCCACTGAAACCAGAAACAAGGGGATCATTTATACTAAAGTCTATTTTTCCTTGAATAGGCTAGATTGTTTCACAGTCATGCAATATGTCTTAATCACAGGGTGAGGAAAGAATCTTTTCCTGTGTAATAACTGCACTTTATTTTGCACTAAAATTTTTCATCCTAGATTGGGTGGTAAACCACACTCCCTAGAAATACTGCGTTAAGGTCAACTGCAGTTTATCATTCAACTAAGCAAATATGCATTTAACACTGAATTGGTTTTATATCATTACTGTTCCATCAGCATATAGGTGTGATAACTGTTAGAGAAGAAAATGTCTTGCCCTTGAATTGTGAACTCCTGTAACCTGTTTGCATGGGGGTATATTCTTTAAACTATGCCTGATCATAAAGATGCTTACTGAGAAATTCAGCTGAGAAAGTGTTTCAGTTGCACATTTGATTTTGTAGCAAGTCTGCAGCTTTGGACTCGCATATTGTTTCAGAGCTACAGAAAGTCATACTAGACAAACAGCCTTTTGCTACCGTTTCTGTATCTCTCCTCCTACCTCTTGTTACCATACAGTTACATGTCCTTCAACTTGTGTCAGTTTAACTTGAAAATAGATTATAAATAAAGTTACTTACTTTTTTGTCTGGATAGTTGCGGTTTTACTGTTCTAATTTGTTGATGTACTTACAGTAACAGGTAAATTGCATTCTTTAGTAAACTGGGGGGCAGCAAACATAAACATATTTTGGATGTGCAGGTCTAGTTTTAATTTATTTTCTTTGCAGTATTGACTCATTCTCTCGATTTAGTAAGCTGATCCTAAATTTATCCAATGTTTTGAAATTGAATTCTATACTTAAGGCTTTCCTGTGTATAAAATTAAGTGAAATAAGTCAAAAGTAAGGTTGCTATGTGCCAGTATGGTTGCCGAGAAACATGACAGGCCACTGGATAGAATCTTTCAACGCTAGTTAACTAGTAAAGCCAGTCACCATTTTCTGTAAATGGCTACCTTTAGGTGACCTTACATATTTCAGCCAAAAATTCTTCCATCTTTTGTCAAAACAAAGCCAAGGAAAAATACAGTTCAGTGCTTAACCAGGTCCTGAGTTCCTTCCTGCATATGCTTTGGAGAACTTGATCTAGGGCAGCCGTGCAGGTTTTTTTTTCCTAATTTTCTTAAAAATCCACTTAAATGCCTGTGGGGTGGGCAGAATAGTTTGCACCACCTCAGTTTAACAATATAAAATGCCCCAAGTTCTGCTTGGTTTCAGTTCTCTACTAATTGTGAAGCAGCATGCTTGTTCACGCCATGCCCTGTATGACAGGGACACACAACTCCTCACAAGGTTTGCTGTATTGCTGCTCTTTTCCAAAGACAAAGCTACAACCAGCACACGCTTTGGCTGATACTCTGCTGTGTAGCTGCTAGTGCTTCAGCAGTGCCAGCTGCACTCCCTCATCTCATGCCTGTATTGGTCTCTAGTTCATATGGTTATGCATGTACCATGCAAATACTCTGCTCTGCCAAGTACACAAAAGTGTTTCTTTTTAGGGGTTTGGATTCCAGGAATTTCTCTGTAAAAGGCCAGTTCCTTAAAACTGAAGCAGTTTTGTCAGAATCGCAATTTAAAACCTGTTTAAATAGTTTAAAAATAATTGAAACAACAAAAATAAGTACAAAGTGATACGGTTTCATATCAATCTCACCCCCTGACCAGAGTGATGTTAATGCAATGTAATCTGCTAGAGCTGCAGTTGATTCAAAGGCTTTATTTTCTGTAGACAGAATGCATATGCATGTTTTTGAAAGATGCAAGAATGTTCAGAAAATGCTCAGAGAAATGAAATAAGCAATAGTTAAATTTAGAGATATATAGGGATTTGGTTTTGCTTTTACACATTTTAATTTGATTCAGCTACTAAAACATCAAGAAAAAAAGAAAGCCCTTCAGCTGTACAGAAATTTTTCTTCAGCTTTGTTTGACTTCTGAAGAAACTACACAGACTTGTGCAATATCATCGTACTCGTATGTTCTCTTCAAAAATGTGTCTGTAAGTCTTAAGCCGGAGACACTCTAGAAAAGGAAAATATTTAAAAGAGTTGTTACTAGAAAGAATTACAAAGCTTATAAAACAGCTATTTTATAATGAAACTATGCTATAAAGACTTACTTGCAATCCCTGCACTGAAGACAACAATGTAAGTGCAAGATGGAGGGATGAGCTTGGGTGCAGCTTTCCAAGTTGCCTTCCTGAAACTCCACACCAGTGGATGGAATTTGTATTGCACATTTCTAAAACCAGATCCATAGTCCTTTCACTGCTAGAGGAAATCATAAATAAAATAAAATAAACCTGTGGGCCTTTTTTCTAAACACTCAAGTAAAAGCTGATTACTTTATTATTCAGGTTACTATTAATCAAGAATTTATGAATAATCATAAGGCATCAAGCAAGATTTATTCTGATGTGCAGTAATGCAGTTACATGTAGCTTTGTCTGACACAAGTGTCTGGCTACA